ATAAATAAATAAATAAATAAATAAATAAATAAATAAATAAATAAATAAATAAATAAATAAATCTGTATAAATGAATAAATAAATCTTTAGGGAAAAAAAGTCCAAATTGTTACTCTTCTATTGCTTACCTGGCAAAGATGAATTCATACAACTCCAAATTTCGACCTAAAATTGCAATAAATAGGTTTTTATGTAGATAATCAGTTCTCAAAAATGACAAATCCTATAGAAATTATTTACAACTAATTTGTGTGTTTGTGGAGTACATAGGCAACATTCTAGGAGTACCAAGTATGAACCAGCTATTCAGGGAAGAAAAAGTAAAACTGAAATGTGAAAATATTTCTTGCTCTTCTTCAATCTTCCATCTAAGAGCACCAGCGATGAGTCCAGTTACTTATTGGACTTATTGTCCAGCTGGAATTACTGTTTTTAAGCACAATGACAAAAGTGTCTATTAAATGAATAAAGGAAAGTCTTTCAGAACTGTCTGCACATCAACTCCCCCGTTCCCTTCCCCCATGCAAGCTACCATATCTAAAGAGGTGCTTTCATATAAGCTCACACATTCTTAGCCTGACCCACAACACTGAGGGATTAGAGAGATTTTAAGTTACGTGCAGGCAAGCAATGTATTATAGCATGCCAGAAAATGGAGAGATACAAATAATAAAAAGTCAACATTTTCCCTTATGCCACATTCAACTTTACAAAACCAAAGTATCAGTCAAAAATTGGTTTTCATAAAATTGTCAACATACAAATGCCAAATACCAGATAAACTATTTAGACATACAACATAGAATAATACAAGTTTAAAGACAATATTCTATCCAGCAACTTGTGTGAATATCTTTTTAAGATACCTAATTAGAGCTAACATTGTGATCATAGAGCTATGATCACAACCCCAAACACACTGAAAAACTTGCTAAATCTAAACATAATTCATCAGATAGCTTCATTTAGACAAAAGTTCCTATAGTTAAGCCAAACAAGACCTACCATTGTTTCAGGGCAATAATCTGGAGCTCGCTGCAACAGATGTTTTAGTCGGGATTCACTTTTTGAAGAGAATATCTATTTGACAAAAACAGAAAGGTTTTGTGGCATTTTTTCATAAGAAATAAAAAGTAAATTTTACTATTCTCTAGATTTATCAGTTGTTTAGAATATTTCCCAACTTCCTTTTATAAACAAAATCTCTGGAAAGATCTAAATCAAGTTGAGGTAACATTTCTTAAAAGGTTGGCTCAGGCCCTCCCTGGTGGCGCAGCGGGTTAAAGCACAGCACTGAGAAGCTAAAGCTACTTCCGCATGAGTTCGATTCCCACCTGCCCCGGAGGTGACCTACATGGCACAGACCTCTCCTGACCCACCCGCTGCTCCCCATCAGCAGTATACTTCGTCTATCTGCCTGTTCTGCTCCCCACTCTGTCTCTGATGAATCCTCTCACTGCCCCTGCATCTCTGGCCTGTACCCCAGCTCTAGTTGGAAATTTCTTTCCAATTAGCTGTTTAACTATTAGCTATTATGCAAAATAAGCAAATCTCTGTATGCAAAATAAATAAAACTTAAAAAAAAAGGTTGGCTCATCTGGCAAATAATCAATAAAGGTCTGTATGCAAAATAAATAAATCTTTAAAAAAAAAAAAGTTGGTTCATCTGGCAAATAATCAAGTCCAAATAACCAAGTCTAGGGGCTTCTGTAATAACCATAAACAGAAAGTCAAGTTGTTGAAGGATGGGGGTGCAAAAGAAGTATATAGAAAAGGAAGGGGGAAAAAGATAAATTTATTCTAAACTGCTCTGCAAATGGCTTTTAGCCAACTGACCATGATGTAAGGTACTCTTGATATTAGTAAAGAACAGATTTATTAACAGCATTACAGCATAAATTTCCCCATAAATAGAGACGAGACCATTTTTTAAAATGTAAATAATGAGTAAGTTCACTCGGCAGGCTGCCTCACTTTCAAACAGGATTTCAATAAACACAATGATTATTTGACGTACCAGTAAATTATGTCACTACACATTGACAGACCATAGCTATCTGCAAAAAGTTGAGTATAAAAACCATGAATCCTATGAAAAAATGGCAATGAAAATGGTTTTTATCTTCAGTTAGTAAGCTATCAAGTCTAAGTAATAAGGCAAAAGAGCTATATAATATCCCCATTTTGCAAATCTTAGTGAAATAGTATATGTTAGCTAGTGTCAACAATGATTGCTAACATTATAAAGAGAGACAATCAGACACAAATACTACCTCTGAGGGAGACTTACCAAGCAAATAAACAAAACCTAATCTGAATCTGTTCAAGCCACCCAATCTGTCATAAGCTGTTAGCCATGTATGACTATTAAAATTAAAATTTATATCAAAGTCAAATACAATTTAAAATAAAGTCGTTCAGCCACCTTAGTCACATTACAAGTGTTCACTTGGCACATGTGGCTCATGGCTACCATTCAAGATTGGACCACTATAGAATATGTTTATCACTGTAGGTAGTTCTACCATATAGCTCTGCTCTAAATCTACCTTTCAATTACTAAGAAATATAGAAGAAAAAGAAACACCTTAGATCACACCTACGGATGCAAACAGGTAAACAGCATACTTCAAACTGTGGGAAAGTGCAGGATAAATAACTAGATTTACTTATCAAATAAACTCATAGACCAAAAGATATTTAAAGGATATCTAACCAATTGCAATGTGTATACCTCACCTGAATACTGACTGATTCAATTTTTTTAAATTATGAAACAATTATTACATATAGGACAACCTATATTTAAGTAGGGATAAATTACTCTAAAGGAAATGAAACCTAGCTTCAACTTCTTATTTAAAATGAAAAGACATTTGAATTCCCAATCTCCAACTGCTTTCACACAGTGGTTTTCACTGCTGATTTAGCAACTCACTTTTCCTCCAAACCAAACCTTTTTCCCACCTTACATAACCAACAGCATCATTTCTGCCAACTACTTTTCATGCCAACTGAAACTTACTGTCACCAGGACTCTTCATTCCCTACTGGTTGAAGGGACAATGAAATTCATTGCGCCTTTCATTTTGAGTGAGCTCAAAATGAGTTAGCAACCTGGCCTAACTCAATACCACCCATTCACTGCTCCAATGATTGAGATGACTAAGATGTTCTGTTGGTGGGAAAAAGTGAACATATGTAACTTAGTCCTCTAATTATGCAGTTTAGGGTGTATTTGGAGAAAAAGGTTACATTCAACATTTGTGTAACTAGTAACAATGGTAATATCTGGAGTCCTTTGCCCTGTTTTTCAATTAGTTAAGAAGATGGTCAGGAAAGAAAGTTCTTTCATAAGGTTACTATAGCACTCACTTAATATGCTAAGTTACAGAGTTTCTAGCGGTTCAAATTTTAAGAAATTATACCTTGCCTGTAGGTGTCTCATAAAAATTACTCACCCAAATGGAAATTATTCCATCAAGGTGGAAAAAGTTAGAGGAACTAAAGCAGAAAGTCAGGAAAGCAGTGCTTTCCAAAGTCGCAGCACTATTTATGATCTCCTTAGGGTGACACCAGCAAGAGAAAGCCAGTTTTTGTTTTTAAAAACTACTATTCCAGCAATAAATTTGCAAAAAAAAAAAAAAAAAAAAAAAAAACTTCATTATAGCATCTCAACATATCACTGACTTCTCTAGCAGCTATTTAGATGAGCTGAATCACTGTCTTGTTTTATAATTAGAGTATATCATGTAGAATCTCTCCAAGTTCATGGTACTGTTTGAGTTTTAACTCCCGACACTCTCAGTTTTAGGACAAAATCCAGGATAATATTTGAAAGCTGTTCCTAAAGTTGACTAAGACCATTAATTCTCAAGTGTTAAGTCTAGAACTACACTACATCAGAAAAAGATAAACTTTTGATGTTGCCCAATGTCAAATAATCAAGGTGAGTGTGCTAAATCCACTGGTTACACAACTGTTTCATGATCAGCAGGGGCATGTTACTACCCTAGAGTTAGTAATAACTAAGATGATGAAAGTAAGACTTTGTGAACAGGTATTGACTCAGTGGAACTTGCTTAAAGAGGCTCACCCAGAAAAAAATCACATTTGCAGAGGTATTTCAAAAGTATACCAGTGAATACCCATAGTCTTCAACTAGCTTCTCCCTTTATTAACATTTTGCAACTTTTGCTTTAGCTCTTTATATATATATTATATATAATATATTATATATATAATATACTATATATAATATGTATATAATATATAATATATATGTATTAAATATATATGTTATATATAATATATATATTATATATACACACACACATTATTATTATTATTATTTTGATGAAACATTTTAGAATTTAAACAGATAGGATGTTATCTCCTAAAACAAGGATTCCATCCTACCTAATTATAATATATATACCAAATGTAGGACCATAATATTGATACAATGTTATTAGATATATCCACTCTTTCCAAGTTGTCTTATTAATATCCTTTGTAGCATTTTTTTAAATTCCAGGATCCATTCAGAATCACACATTGCATTTCTCATGTCTGTTTAATTTCTTTTAACCTAAAAATTTCTTAGCCTTTGTTTCTGATGACACTGATATCTTTGAAGAGTACAGGCTATTGTTCAGAGGAATATTACCTCAATCTGAGTTTGCCTGGTGGTTTCTCGTGATTCTAATTATGCATTTTTGGCAAGAATCCTACATAAAATACTGTACTCCTTTCACATCAGGGACACATGTTAAATTGTTCCATTATTAGTGACGTGAACTCTTGGCTAAGGTGCTGTCCAATGGAGTTTTCCAAGAACAAAATCATACTTAATAGTCATGAAAATAATAGCCTCTACAATTTTTATTTTCTTTTAGCCTCAACAATATTATATAAGCTTACCTGTTCACATACATCACGACACATTTGGTTATCTTTTGAATGACTGCAACACAATGCACCTAGGGAGAAAAAAATAAACAACTGATGTTGCCCATGTCAAATAATCAAGGTGAGTGTGCTAAATTCACTAGTTACGGAACTGTTTAATCAATATTACTACTCTTCACCAGATCTTTACCTCACTCCTATTATAAATCAGAGACAGTCCTAAGTTTTAGGATATAGTTTCAGTTCTCAAGAAACTCTCAGGCTAATAATGATACTGCCACAGGAAGATAGACAGTTACGATGTATTAAGCATTTTCTATGTTCCAGAATTTTACCATATCTGCTTTATGCATTATCTCATTCAATTCTTACAATTACCCTATGCACCACATTCAAATTTGTGTTCTATGAAACACTATTTCATGAGCTAATATCTATCTCTCAAGAGAAAAGTGTTTTATGTCCTAATAAATTAGGAAATGAAGGGTTAAAAAAAGCAAGAGAATTCTTTATTGTAGGACTTTGTGAATCCTAAAATGTTACCTTGTATGCGTAATTAATTTCATAAAGTGATATCTAAGCAGACCTATTTCTCAGAGCACAGAACATTTTTTTTTTTGCACAGAACATTTTTTATGCCACCTATTAATATTTTAAAAAGCCAGCTTGAGAAACATTAAATCAGAGAAAAGGGAAAATGTTACCAAGCAGCATATGGGCTGGAGAAATTTATAAACTGACGGTGGAGATAATCAGCAGGGGCATGTTACTATTCTAGAGTTTAACAGACTGCGAAACAAAGACACAGCTAGACAGCTGATCAGGGGCTATCTAAACTGGCAAGTCAAAGGACATAAGAAGACGGAAAAAGATTTGATAGTGGCAATTAGATTTGATAAAATGGCTTGAAATACACGTGACATATCTCTTCAAATAAAATCCATGCATTTTCAGCATAAAAATTAAGTAAAAGTCAAGCTGTTTTTTTTTTTTTTTGATTGAAGGTAGGATTGGGATTGGAAATACATACATACATATATAAATATCTTAGCAAGAAGGCTTTTAAGTTCAAAACTGGAAATTGTTTCTCCATAAAACAATGACAGAATGTGTGATATTACTGGCATGTGACTATGTAATTTGGTTGCGTGAAAGACTATTGGGATGGCTTTCTAATATTATTTCTATGAGAAAAAGTGCCCTGAAGTTCTAAACGTATGACTAAAAATTCTGAAGAAAATATAAAAATTTCACTAAGTTTCAGAAGAAAGAAAAATTCCCTTGCTCTAAAAGCAGCTGTACCTTCTAAGAAGCTTAATCTGAGGACTCATGAGGCTTTCCCACAACACCCTTCCTCCCAGCCATGCCACATGGTGCTCACCCCTCTTCTAGCATCTCCTCTTCTAGGATTCCATTATATTCCAGTCTCACTGGATTGGGGAGCAGAGGGAAGAGGAGCAGGAGGGCTCTCCTGTAAGATACTGATGTTTTCTTTTGAAGTCTCCTAGAACTTGCCACTTTCTGCCATCTTCTAACACAAAGGTCACATGAGGGCAGAAACCCAGCTGATACTGAGCAAAGATAACTCAGGATAACATATGGTAACAATGAGCAGAGGCTTAGCAAAAAGCAAACAATCAGGCTGACAAAAGTCTGATTTGGGTCTAGGAAGTTTTGAAAAACAGTTTACTGGACCAAAGGTCTGTTTAGAACAGAAACTTGTTGTAATTAAAACTCAATAACAAAGAAGTTTTATAAAAAATACAAAATGCCTGTATTTTTTCTATTTAGTGATGAAGATCACATTTATAGGTAGTGATCTTCTAAGTTAAATGTTTTAAGTTAAGTCTTTCTTTCTTTGCTTAAAAAAGCCCAACTTTTGGTGGTGGTGGGGGGGGTGAATTATACTCCACATCTTGCCAGAACTGTGCTGACACTTGGCATATTTCCTTCTGTTCTTTCTAAAAGCCTTCTGATGGTTCTGAAAAAATGGGATTACAGAGGCCAGTCCTCTGGTAATAGCTCCCTTCCCCCATCCAGTCAAGCATTCCTCTGTAATAGTACAATTTCCTCCTTTGAGAGTTCTGCTGCCCTCCATGAACAGGCTAGGTGACCTACGCTCTATCACATTTTCCACACTGTTTTTAACCTTGCCACTCTTATATTGGTACAATATTTCTTCCTTTGAAGCAACAGAAACTAAACTTTAACACTGCATAGTTTTCAAAAAATAAATGTCTACAAATAGATATCAATTCACAGGCCTCAGTTAAGAATGGGGGGGATGTCAAAATGCAATTAATGTGGCAATCAAAGCTCTTTCTCTTTTTTAGAGATGCAAATGAAAATGGTTTAATTGGGTCATTCCACTATTCCAGTGCAACAACATTCTTCACTGCCTAAAGTTTTCTACTTCTACAAAAGATAATGAATTGTAGAAATGTTTTGCTTTTATAATTTGATTCTAATACACTCTTCAATAATCCTACTCATTCTAAAAATGGAATTGAATAAAGGTAAAAATAGTTCAAAATAAAGTTTGATATTGACATAATTAAAGTAAAAGCATAGTGTTACTCTAAAGACGTAAGGATAAAGGTCACATTTTGCATTCTTAATTCCAAGAGTCTATGATTATAAAATAAAATTAATAAAATCCAAAATACTATTGTTAAAGTCATGAATCAATATTTTAGATTAAAAAGGGTATTAACCTAAAAATATGCAAGCATAATTATCCAATAATAAAACATCAAAGTTTGATTGCTGGTGTACTCGAGATAGGCAATAAGCAGGAAGTGTACATACTTTTGTCACATTAGGGAAAATGCAATTTCTAAGATCAATCCACATTAAAAAAACAATACACACCCTATCTAAGACAGTCACAGAATTACAGGATTTTTAAAAAATTAAAATGGGTTTGCCACAAAAGCCTCCTAAAGCTGTAATTCAATTTAGTTAATGAAAAGCCATTCTTATTTTCTGTTCTAAAGAGAATAAAAAGTCCCTCTAGTTAATTACTATAACAGAATGTGTATGTGTGTGTAAACACACACACACACATATTCCACAGTACATACACACACACACACTCAATAGATACATTATTGAGAGGGCAAAAATTAAATCTAAGCTGATACTGGGAAAATGTCTTATTATATGAAATATTTTAAATCAAAGTTTTATTTTCAAAACATCCTAGAAAATGACAAGCACAACTTTATAAACACATTCTTGCAACTGCAATTGCCACATTTCTCCTTTTTAAAATGTGTGTTTGTATGTGTAGCTAGTTAGATATCTCTATATACCTTCAGCTTAGGAAGAGTGAAATAGCAAAGATTACCTACATATCCACCACCTCTATTCAGCATTGCTAACGTCTTGCCATAACGTTCATGTTACCTTTTTTTCCTGAATCATTTCCTAGTCACAGATACCTTTCTCCATTGCTTGCTTCACACAGCACTACTTCCAGTTAATTATACCCACATGATTTAAATATCATGATTACCAGTTCTTTTAAACAGACTTCATGATGTCACTCTTCTAATCCAGAATCTACAGTCTTCCTGCTATCCAAATTATAATCTTTCAAGCTTTCTTCTAACCTTCTGCAGAGTATATGAAGATGTTCAGGCTTTTACACCACTGGCCTCTGTGGCTCTCACCTGCACCCTTGACTGCAGAAGACGCTTAGGAGCATGGGCCTGGGGCCACGCATGCCTGATGGTGGATACCTGGCATATCGTGTGGCCATGTGTAAGTGGGCACCTGTGCCTAGAAGGGCAGGGATATAAGAGCAGCATGACTCTGAGATGGCACAGTGGAGAGAAGGTCAGAAGGAGCCCAGAGAAATAGATTCTGCAGCTCCCTGACACCTCCCACCCCCGCCTGCCTTGCACCTGGTTGCCTCACTATAAATGGTATAGAAAAGATAAATAAAAGCCTGAAAAAGCCACTGAGAGCTCCAGGTTTCTCCTTTGCCTGTTCCCTGAATGAAGGGAACCAGCACCATGCCTAGCTGGCACTACACCTTCCCTTCCCTGAACTATTACTTTTTACAAGGAACACCTACATTTCCCTTGAATATAATTTCTGCCTGAAATGCTTAGTGTCCCTTCCTCATGACCTAAATCCCATCTCACCTCTCAGCTAAGACTTTCTTGTCAAACTGGGAAGCTACATGCAAAAAAACGAAATTAGATCACTACCTCAACTCCATATACAAAAATCAACTCGAAGTGGATTAAAGACCTAGACATAAGAATGGAAACCATAAAATACCTGGAAGCAAAGATGGGCCAAACACTACACGACATACACTTCAGCGACATCTTTAAAGATAGAGCACCCAATGCCACAATAGCAAAGGCAAGGATAAACAGATGGGACCATATCAAGTTAAAGAGCTTCTGTATAGCAAAAGAGACATTACAAAAAACAGACAGCCCACTAACTGGGAAAACATTTTCTCACACAAAACTAGTGATAAAGGATTGATCACAAAAATATATGGAGAACTGATGAAGCTCAACAAAAATAAACAACTCTATCAAAAATGGGCAGAAGAGCTAAAAAGACACTTCTCCAAAGAGGAGAAGTGGCCAACAAGCATATAAAAAAATGTTCAACATCACTCATAATAAGGGAGACACAAATTAAAACCACAATAAGATACCACCTCACCCTGGTGAGAATGGCACATCTTCAAACAACTACAAACAACAAATGTTGGCGAGGATGTAGAGAAAAAGGAACTCTCCTGTATTGCTGGTGGGAATGCAAACTAGTACAACCACTATGGAAACTGTTTGGAGGTTCCTCAAACTGCTTAACATGGAGCTTCCCTATGACCCAGCAATCCCACTCCTAGGTATCTACCCAAAAGACACAAAAACACTGATTCAAGAAGATACCTGCACCCCCATGTTATTTGCTGCTTTATTTACAATTGGAAAAACATGGAAGCAGCCCAAATGCCCAAAAGTAGATGACTGGATTAAAAAGATGTGGTACATATACACAATGGAATATTACTCAGCAACCGAAGAAAAGAAACACATGT